CCAAGGACAAGCCGCAGGTTACTTCTGCCCAAGACGTCAAGAACCTCAAACACGGCAAGCCTCCGACACTCGCACCTTCGTGTTGGTGACCACATTCTCAGGGTCCGTGGAGGAAAGGTTGAACTTCTGATGCCCGCACTTCATGTACCATGCCTCAGATCCAACCGCGACCATCATTTCGAGCCAGGGCACATTCTGTGAGGCCGGTCCAGTGCGAAAAGTGATCCGAGCGAGAGCACGTCTTTGGATGAAAGCACTCAGGCTCCGTCTCTACACTTCCCGGACCGGCTGATGTGTTAAATGGACAGACACATAGACCCCTTTTCGCGCGCGAAATTGGCTCCCTCGGCGGAGGCATCATGATGGCCCGCCAAAAAAGAAGGGGCCATGCTTCTGACCTCACCCCATGGTGTCACGCCACAAGCACTCTGGCACAAAAAATATGCTTCGAAACTGCCTGCCATCCCGCATTTTGCAGCCAAGTGGCGGGGGACACAAACGCTATCAGCGGATCAGACACCGGGATGTAGAGGTACACGCGAAAATCGCACTTGCGGCCTGCCACCTGGGCCGTTGAGAGACTTGGCTGGAACTCTACCTGCACCAAGATCGCTTTCGCTTTTGAATCTGGCGCCCTCTCAGTTTGCTATGGGTGCAAGGAAGCTACATTAGATATGTATATATATATACACAGACAGTACATACATACATACATATATATATATATGTACACATATACGTAACTAATATATATCTATATATATATATTATAACACGGGTAACGAACATACCAACGCTTTTGGCCAGTTCCGGCCCAGATCCGCTCTCCACACTCTCCGGGCCCCCAGCCAGCAAGGGGTTGGTGAGATACCGCTGCACGAGACCCCGCACCTGGGAGACGGACCGACTTCGGTCGAGGAACACTCGGTTGACGTTGGGTTTGGGGAGCAAAACTTCTCAAACTTTAGCAGGTAAGTGGATTTAGATTTCAACCACTACACCACAATAAGCAAAAATGTAGAATGTGTCCCAACGACAACCATGTGTAGGGCTGGACTTTTTGGCCCCGTTTTGGCTGGGAGGCTTTCGTTTTCTGATTTTCAGCTCAAATAGTTGTTTCTCTGATCCCCTGCTAAAGTTTTTTTTGTATTTTTTCACTTGTGGGTGAACTGGAAACCCAAGCACCAACTAAAAAGATCTAAACACCTTAAGGGGCCGGATGGCTGCGGGAGAAACTTCGACACTGGGCCTTCGGGTGCCTCGTGCAACCATGCACCTAGACGAAGGATGGATGAGCAGAAGATCTGGGACCGTCCCTTTATGGGTGGGATCCGACCCAAAGTTCGCTTCGGCTGTTCTTTTGGTTTCCCTCTGAAACCACCAAAAAACCCGATAAGACCAGAATTTCCCTTCGAACGAGCATTTCAAGATTGTGTGTTTGCGGCCGCTGTTTCCTTTAATTTCTTTCCGGCCATCCACGTTCAGGGCGAACTCCAATTGAAACTGGGGGGAACTAGGCGCGTTGTGAGTTTCAGCTGCATTCGCCTCAGATGAGCTCTGTCCTCCACAAGCTTCCAACGTTGGATGGGGCAAAAGCCTTCTGAGCGGTGGTGACGGTTGTTGGGAAAGCCATTGTCTAAATGCAGAAACCTGCTGGGCCGAAGCAAGAGCAACATGAGGCTGGCCTGACCACCTTGACAGAATACGAATCCGTTGCCACTGCCACCTAGCTTCACCCAAGTAGGAAAGGACGACGAATGTGCTAGAGGAAGATGGGGAACTGCGAGCTTGACTCACGCTTTGTGTTGAGATTGAAAGAGGCCAGGGACAAACAGCAAACAGTTCAAGAATCTCCTGCGCAAACCACCGGAGCATTGGATCTCAAGGGCAAACAGCTACGGTTGGCCAGTGCCAACCAAAAATGCTGTGCACCAGCCAGCTTTCTTCCCAGCTACGGTTCCATGTGTGGCTTGACGCGACCAAGCAAGTCAGCAAACTTAACTGCAGCACCCTCTCCCACCAAAGACAATACCTTAATCCATGCTGTGTGTGTGTGTGTTGTTTTTTTCCCTTTTTTTTTTTCCGGATACACCACATTGGCACCAACTGGTCTTGCACACGCATCTTCCACACGATTGGTGCTGTTTGAAAAGGCACAACTTGTCAGTCGTGTTCTCAGTTCTTCAGTGACCCTGGGAAAAAAAGGGAACCCTTTTTGGGGAAGACCTTTTTTAGTGGGGCAGCCACCCAAAAAAAAGGGAAAAAAGGGTGCCACTGAACAACTGAGTGTTCGTTTCCGGAACCCTCCAGCAAGGCAGCGCCTTGCCGGCGGCCCTGGAGCAGTTCCGCGCCACCGCGGCCGCCTCCTCCGAGATGGGCGCAAACCACCCAGACGTCAAAAGCCAACGAAATCTGTTCGCGATGCGCATGAAGAACTTCTACCCCTCCATTTGCTTTTAAGTCCCCTGAAAAAAAAGAAGAAGAACAAAAACATATTTCCAGTAGCGAAATCGATTCCCTTTGAAACCACCAGGGGAAAAATAAGAAATATATTCTCAACCAAATGGAAGAAGCGCCCTGCACCCTTGGTGCCTTGAGGTCAGAAGGATCTAGTTTGGGACGCCGAAACTCCAGGCCCCCGAAGGAAATGGGCCAATCGAGCTACGATGTTCGCAGAGTTGTCCATCAGCGCCAACCCCAAGGGATGGATACACGCAAGCCATGCACAGCCAGCGCTGGAAGCGGCTTGGCAAAACAAACCCCACAGGATCGCAACATGAAAGCCGCGGGACTGACACGCCAGAAGCGCGCAGACACATTCACCCAGAAGAAAATGGCATCTGGTTGGTTTAATTCTGATGAGGAGCAAGTGAGCAAACTAGGCAAACAGGGAGGAGGATCACGTTGCACCTGAGTGACTAACGCGAAAAGTTGCTCAGGAAATTTGAAGGAGGCATCAATTCCGGTTCGTAGGTTCAAATTAAAGGCTAGCGGTTGAATAACAAAGCTCTTGTTTTCTTTTTTCCAAGAAAGCTATGCAGCAAGAACTCGCCTGATATCGCTAGCATGGAGCGATTGCCTGAGCATATGTGCATGACAGGCTTACTGGAGTGCCACCACTGGTTGCGCCTGCAACAAAAAGGCCCTCTGTGGTCCACATTGCGATGAGTACGTCAGGCGAAGAGCTGCAGGCTAGTCCATGCGCTTGGATGATGACGGTAGCAGCCCTCAGCCAACTTCCGGGTTTCTGGCACAATCTTAGTCAGCCCTCATCTGGATGACGCGTGACTTGGAATACAAACAAAAACTGTCCTCAGATCACCCCCTGCTTTCAAAGCTTCACTTGTGGCTTAACTGGAAACCAGACCACTAAACCCACGAAAAAGCTCTAAAAACCTAAGGAACTAAACCAACTAAAAAAATCCAACACGATTTCTTTCCGGAACCCGGACGATTCGCTGGTTGCAGGTCACCCACAAAAACTTGGTTGCTGTTGACCCCTCTGCAAAAAGATCAACTTTTTGTGGGCTTAGTGGAAGACCCCTTGATTCCCCCAAAAGCTAAAGTCTTATGATCCAACCCACCAATCAAGAACACCAACTCTTGGGAGCGATGGGAAGTGCCAGCCCCACTTCACTGCGCTCCTGGGCAGTCAGCAGCCGAACTCCTTGGCTGTTGTGCTGCCGGTCCTGGCCGAAACCAAAAATGCGACGGAGCCGCGGACCAAAAATGCCGAGCCCCACAAGCAAAGAAACTTCTGTATGGCTGTGGCTCAAAACTTGGCCGCTGAACTGACCAGAGAGTCGCCAAAACAATCCCGAGCTGTATGTGCACCATCTTTTTCTCTTTGGCTGTGGCTCAAAACTTGAGCTGCTGTTGACCCCTCTGCAAAAAGCTTAAGTTTTTGCTGGGTGCAGTGGAAAACCCCTTGATGCCCAAAAAAGCTGAAGTCTAAAGATCCAAACCAACAACAGTCAAGAAACCTTTAGCACGGTGGACCCAAACACTCGAAACTGGGGAAAACCAGGCCGAAAATGGGAAGACCAACAGGGTCCAAGGCTGCGGCTCCAAAATGGCACCTTTAGGCAAATGGGAAGGCGGGCGAAAGCCCCGCGGTTTAAGCCCCAAGCGTCAAGTCCGAGGGTCCCCAACAAAAATTGAGTTCTAGATCCTCCAGATTTGAGAGGTCAGAATAAGTTGGTACCGTTTCTTTTTTCTGTAGTCTACGTTGGTAAGGGAACCCTCCCAACCAAAAAAGGGGTAAAAAAGGGCACCTAGCTGGGGGACCTAGGTAAGATCCTGAAGGGCACCCCACGCAAAGCCGTCCACCATTTTTCCAGCCACACAAACAAGTGGTGGAGCCGGGAATTATGACCTGCTGAAGACTATGTGGCCATGAATTTTAATAAGGAGCCACCTCCAAAAGTGGTTGGTGGACATAAATCCCAACCTAAATGAGGTCCACCACAGGGTCCCTTATTAAAATTCACACCCATGTGATGCAACCACAGCTTTTCGTGTTGAGCTGCACCAGTGCAAGGTCAAAGCAAGAACGAGATGCGCCTGGATCGATGCCAGGGAAGGCGAAAGCGGAGTGCGGAGTGCGGTTGCATCACACGAGTCTCTCGCATTCCCGTTCGGCTCCCTACAAAACGACATCCCAACATGGTATGGCAGACGCCAGATTCTTCGCTGGGGATAAGCAAGTCTGAGAGCCAAAAGACAAGGCCTGTGGCCCGCCTTGGCCTCGAAAAGGCACACTGAACAAACTCATGAAGTAGGACGGGCGTAGCCCAAGTGTGGGGGCAACGCAAAACATCATGGCCGGATACCCCTCTGTTGGCATTTCTTTCTTCCTCTGAATCCACTCAAGCCCTCAACATAACCCTTTACATTGGGGGGAGTTTGCAGCGAAATGATCCCCAAAATCGAATGTTGAGAAGTTCACAGAATGTCCACTTTACGGACCCAGTCTCATTCTCTCTCCTCCGCTCTCTCTTTCAACTCGCCTGCTTGCGGATCCACATGGCAGACTCCACCTGGCCGCGACGAGCAGCCCGTCCGAAAGGGTGTCAGTTGAGACACCTGCCACAACGGCGCAACAGTGGGCGCCAAGGTGCATTGGGCATGTGTTGAAAACTCATTTTTGGTGCACAACCAAGAACCCCCCCCCTCCCCCCAAGCTGGTGACAAAGATCGCTGGATCCCCAAATCAAAAGTTGATCGATCAATTTGCTGGCGGTGTGCATTGAAACTGCTACTTGCGGTTGAGTGGTAGCAGTTGAAAACAATTACAAGGGCACCTCAGCTAAAGGGGTACCCTTATAACCTGGCTTGTTGTTCAGGTACCCTGGGCCTGTTTTCCATCGGAACTTCTTGAGACACCCGAATGAAAGTACAGAGGCTAGAATAAGGGTACCCTTTTTTTCTGTAGTCTATTTTAGTAGGGGAACCCTCCCCCAAAAAAGAAACGGTAAAAGGGCACCTAGCTGGGGGACCTACAAATCCGCCCCTCGACCCGAGACTCGAGCCTGGCGCTGGAAGTCCGCGCAGTCCTGAGCCTCCGCCAGCACGAAGCTCCCTGGCGCCAGCAGCTCGATCTCCGGTTCCCGGCCCGGGAAGCGGCGGGCGAAGGCCCTCAGCGCCGAAAGACGCGACTCGGCTCGACTCGAGCACGGCTGTGGCAGGGGCAGAGACATCGGGCAGCTTAGCCTTGGTTTTGAATTGGGCTATTCTAAAAGTAGTATTGAGGACCCGGCTGCTTCAGCCAGTCTGGAAAAAAGTATTTATTAGGGTTCAAATGGCCATGGGTCAAACGCCAAATCGTACCCCCAGTGAACATCCGATTCAATCCAACCACTAAAATAGGTTCTAAAATGGGTGGTGCACCTACCCCAAAGTGGAACCATTGGTGTTGTCCCACAGCCAAATGGAATCCACGTCTCAGCGACATAAACCGGGAGATAGACAACAAGTTTGGTCCCTGGGCGGGGGGAGTTAGTCCTTGACAGGGCTGTGGGAGAAATGGACTCCACGAATCTGTGATATGGCTTGAGATGGCTTCCCAAAGACTAAGGTTCCCCCCCAATATAAGGGCGGATTCCCGAAAGTACCACAGAAGCGGCCGGAAAAAGCCCCATGCCCCAACCCATATATGTATATATAAACCCCATGCCCCAACCCATATATAAAGGGGGAGATTACCAAAAGTATCACAGGAGTGGTTGGACAACCCCCGCCGAGACCACTCTGGATTCGAGGTATTGAAGGCGTCCATGGAAGGAATTCCCTCATTTTGAGGGCGGGTTGGAGCCGAAGTTCGGTGTGCTGGTGAAACGGAGGGGTTTCCAATTCATTTACCCTCTACAACAAGCAGGGACCCGTTCAAATCCGAATCCAAACCACCAATTAGTTCGAAGCTGACCATTTGCTGGTTCGCCCCCCCTGGAGGAAAAAAACAAAAACATAGCAAAAACATGTCCTGTAGTGATAGATTCCCTTTGAAACCAAATGGGAAACTGACAAATATGTGTTTCAGCAAATGGAAGAAGGGATGGAAGGGGAGAGACAGGGTCTCAGTGGATTGTCCCATGGATGGAAACAGGGCCGGCTGTTTGTGTGTCGATTTCACGGGGAAACCCCATAAAAAGGGGCGAAACGGGCCGGCGACTCTTCTTTGCTCGATTCTTCAGTGGGAAACCCCTATCCAAAGAGCAAAAAGGGCGCTGCCTCGGGCTGCTTACGGTGGATGCCCCCAATAACGGGTGATGGAACTAGGAAATTCCTTCATTGTCATGTGGCTGTGGGTCAAAACCCTGTACCTCTGGCGAACATCAAAATAGGTGGCAAATGGATGTTCATCCACCCCAAAATGGAGCCATAGGTTATGCCCCATGGCCATATGCCATGGTTTTGTGGTGGAATTGCGAGAATTACCTCTACCGAAACTCACGTCGACACCAAGGTCTCAAGTGCACATCTCACCTGATGTCCTGATTGGGTCGAATTGACCTATTTTCTTGCGCACATGCTCACATGGCTGTGGGTCAAAACCAATGGTACCATTTTGGGGTAGGTGCACCACCCATTTTAGGACCTTGGGATGTTCACTGGGGGTACGATTTGGGTTTTGACCCATGGCCACATGAAAGCAGGCCGGCTCTCATGCGGCACATGACTTTTGGCACCTAAATTATATCCTAAAGGCAGGCAAGCGCCGTTCTCAAGCATCCTCAGCACACAACTGTGTCAAAAAGAGCTCATCACCGTCAGGCCTCTTGCCAGGAACATACAAACATAGTCAAAACCGGAACACAAGGCTGCCCTGAAAAGGACCAGGAGCTCGCAGGTCAACCCCTTCCCCTTCCTTCCTCCCTCTCTGAGGAAATTTCCGTCGAAAAATACCAGACCGAGATTGGAAAGGTATGAAGAGGGAATGAGGGAATGACCCCTGATAACCCCTATAAACTATCCCCTTATGGTTTCCTTTAAGTCCTAGGGAAACCCTTCTGGTTCATTCCCAACACCCGGACTCGGAAACTCATTCCCTACCTATCGCACCCTAGGTCCTCCAGTAGAGAGGTTAGAATAAGGGTACCTTTTTTTCTGTAATCTATTTTAGTGGGGGAACCCTCCCCCAAAAACGGGCAAAAGGGCACTAGAGCCACCCATCGCACGAAAACCAACGCTCTCCGCCACTCTCCGAACTCGTCCGAAGCGCTTCAGCACTTTGGCCAAGGAGGACTTCACCTTGCCCGCGACTCGCGGGGTCCGGGAGGGGGGGGGGGGGCAGAGGGCGGGAGGGGAGGGAGGGGAGGCAGGGGGGGGGGGGGGTAGGGGGGGAAGGAGAGGGAGGGGAGGGAGGGGGGGGAGGGGGGGAAGGGGAGGGGGACCCTCTCCCACTAACATGGCACCTGACAGGGGGTCCCTCCAAGACTGATCTTCCAACTCTTTTTCAGGTGCCATGGTAGTGGGAAGGGTATGTGCATGTGCAAACATATCCGTCTATCTGTATGTGTATCTATCGATAAAGCAAATCACAAGTGAGGAGGGGCGAAACGAAGCTAGCCATGCCACACGGTTTCCGGGCATGGGATCATGTGCTATTTGTCTTTGTACAAACGGCTGTAGGCAAATATGGCTGTGGTGCATTCTGGGGTAGGTGCACCACCCATTCTAGAACCGATTTTAGTGGGGATTGGAATGTTCACTGGGGGTACGGGATTTTAGACCCATGGCCATGTGAGTGACCGACAATATCAGAAACTACGACCAGTACCCGCCAACCTACTGATACCCGCCAAATGGTGTCGGTTACGCATAACTGAGTCCTGGCCACAAGAAAGATCGCACTTTTGATGTGGATTCAATTTCCTCATGACACATCTAAAAAGATGAACAATCAGAGGCGGCCGTGCACATTCTCCATCAACAGCGAACGACAACTTCCTTTGCAAGGACTTCACTCTGTTGTCCTGGACAAGTATCAAAGAGCATCGTACCATGCAAGCCCCCATGCTCAAGAGCTCTCCGCAACGTGCCATAACTTGCGGCTGCACGCAGCTACTTGAAGGGCATAGGACAACGTGAAACCCATCCAGTCACTCCACATGGAAGGGGGGACATCTTTAAATAGTCTACAGTATGGCACGATCCAGTCTCACCCACCTTCGGAGGGCCAAACCAGAAGCGGGCCATCCATCAGAATTTCAAGAAACTGGAACAGCAGAAGTGTCTGCACATCCTCAGAGGAGGTAATCGCGCCGATTGACTGAGTGTGAGCAGAGGAGTCACTGTAGAAGTGATCCTGTGCAAGGACAGTCGATGTACAGTGCTTCATCATTGGAGCGTGATCAAATACGTAAAACAAATATACATGAAGCAAACGGGGAATCCTCTGCATGTTTTCCCCCATCACTGCAACCCAGATCTCAAGTGGCAATGCGAAAACAAGGCCCTCTTTTTTCAGCAGTTGATTTTATACAGAAGCACTCAACCCAAATCAAGAAGCCCGTCAGCTCTATTGCCTTGCCAAGTAGCTGTAAATGGCATCAGGAAGTCCAAATGATTGAACACCTGGGGACAAGCCACGCTCCAGCAACGCAGCGGGGAAGCGGTGGTGAAATTCCAACAGGTCTTGGCTTCATCTAATCCAGCTCAGCATCAAGAGTGTGTGGTACTTGACTGCATCTTAAGTGTGTGCCTGTGTGTGTGTGACCAATGGCTCCAGCATTTCAGCATATCTTTGACCAGATAGTGGAAACCAAACTCGAATAACAAAATAAGAACACCAACGATTTGCCGTAACGATTGATTTTTTGCCACTAGGTGGTTGCCAGCGTTTGTTCCGACATGTAGCTGTTCTTTTCCGACATCAAGACTCTGCGAACAACCCGCGTCACCATGTCTTTTGTTGGTGCGGATTCTTCATGCCTGCGACAAATCCAATGGGCTTGAGCTAGGATGCATCTTACATTCAAATAAGCTTCAACATTGCTGGTTTTGCAGTTGAATCAACCACAGTTTCCTTCCGAACCCGCCCCAAGGGGCGCACGACCACAGGCCCATGTCCATTTCTCATTCGGGGGATCTCAGAGTTCCGGAACTGAAATGTGCGCAGGCGAAGTGCAAGGCGGCTGGACTCGTTTGACACAAACTGTTTGTCATTTGGTTGGACAAACAATACAAAACGGTTTCCCCAAATGAGCTCCTTTCAAAACCCCTCAACTTGTCCTTATACCCCAATATGACATGTTCGGATGTCGTTCTAATCCTTTACATGGGGTGTTGTAATGGAGCTCAAATGGTTCTGGGCTGCCCTCAGACCCCCCGGCTAAAGGTTTTTAACTTTTAGTGGGTCAAATGGAAACTACCACTAAGCACTCAAAGGCTAAAAAGCTAAGGAACCGGATGGCTGGGAGCCACGAAGGGTTGTTGCCCCAAACGGAACTCGGAGGACAATTCCTGCGGCTTACCCCCCCCCCCCCTCTCCGTGAGTCGCCTGCTGCTTGGGGTAGGTCGTGCACAGCGACAGAAGGTGGCTGGGCCTGGGAGACACAGTGAGACCCAAAAAACTTGCAAAGGTGCGATAGGTAGCCCGAAGAAAGGAAACCACCAGTTGGATGGTTTAGTTCGGGGTTATTCCATTTAAGTCATTCCCTGCATCTCTCGCACCAGTAAGAAAAGGGGAATGGCCCCGAGAGAAACCATCCATTTCCTATGGCTTCCTTCAAGTGAATCCCCAGGTTCATTGCTTGCTGCTCAGCAGAGAATGACCGAGGGTGTTGGGAATGAACCTGGGGATTCCCTTAAAGGAAACCATAGGAAATAAATCGTTTTCATTCCATTTCTCATTCCCTGAGTCTCTCACACCAGCAAGACAAGGTCGAGGTTTTGGCTGGTTGACCCTTCGTGGTTTCCAGCCATCCGGTTGGTATAGAAGAAGGTTGGCACCCGTGCCCCCGGAGCTTTTGATTGGGGCACGGGGCACGAAAATAAAGAACCTGAAGGTGAAAGTGGATGGCACAATTCTCTTTGATTATGCGGGGAAGTAATACTTCCGATCGAGTGGATTGGCAAAGCAAACTCCTGGAACTTTCCAGTTACCACTAAAATGGCCCAAACCCCGAAAATGACTAAAATCCAAAACCTCAGCAATTTCTTGGAGCGTGTTATTTACCGCTAGAATGGTCCAAGCCCAAAAAGTGACTAAAGTTCGAAGCAGAACTCAGAAAGTGTGGCTTGCTTCCACCAGCACGAGAGTTTCTGGCACTACATTCTCAGTACCGAAGCTAACCCCGAGTGGATCAAAGGGAAAACACATCAGTACCCTCCTTTCCACTAACATGGCGCCTGACAGGGGATCCCTACAAAAGGAACATGATCGTCCCGGTCCCCCTCTCACAGGTGCTAGGTTAGTGAAAGGGAGGGTATCTGACCTTGATACACCCCAGCTGTCACAAATCATGATCCCAAAACAAAGATCAGCTGAACATTGGCCACCAAAAAGTGATGCTTGACATGCTTCGCCGGCGAAACTTGCTTAAGCAGTTCCCCTTACTAGGGTCCCTGGAAAATGGAACGACACCGAGAAAAACCGTCCTTCCTATAGTATCCTGTACTCGGGAATCCCAACCGGTTCATTCCCAGCACCCGAACTCGGTCGTTCATTCCCTCATCGCAGCACAAGCCCCACGTTCTTGGGCTCGATTTGTGTTGCTGGCGGTAAAGCCCCAAGCGAAAGAACAGAAGAAAAAAAGAGCAAGCCGTACCTCAGCTGTTCAGTGACCCTGGAAAACAAAAGGAACCCATTTTTAGTGGAGAAGCCACCTAAAAAAATGAAAAAGGGGGCCGCTGAACAACTTTTCCGGACTTTTCCAGACATGTCGCGCGCGATCGGCCTCTCGGCGGAACGCGCCCTCCACGCTGGTCTATAACTGACACAAGGGGCAGTGATGCCCGAGGTGCGTTGGCACTCTAGAGGTGGCCAAGAACGAGCACCAACCGCATTGCGTGGTTGGGGCGCCGCAAGGTGAACCACGAGCGCTTGGCGCTCTCCTGACGTGTACCAGCCGCTTCGCGCGGTTGGGACTCCGCAAGGTGAACCAGGAGAAAAGCAACGCGAGAGCGCCACAGCCAGTGTGTTCCAGCCCATAAGTTTCGCCGCGAACGCGCCAGATGCCATGAATGCCGGTAACCCAGTGAGTCCATAACACCAGACTGTACAACCCTATCGCGCATGATCTCGGCCATGCTCCCGAGCCACTGGCTCAAGCAAAACTGACGGCCCGTCACCCCTATCCAACTTCAAGGCCCTTCCAGAAGAACGGGAAGAGGAAGCCCGGCACTGAGGTAACCACACTTGCAGCCTCATAAGCGCCACGGGGAGAAAGCAGCCACTTGCTCCAAGAAAACTTGCACCTGCACTTCATCTCACCTACTGGAACACACAGAGCCCATTCGTGTTCAAAGTGAGCTGTTCCAAATTCTCCACAAATCAGATGCTCCTGCTTGGCAACGCTTCCCTGACCACCCCTCGCGCCGACGTATGAGGGAAGGGCTCAAAGAAACTGGCACGCACGCGGCTGAGACAAGCATAGTCAAGTGTAGCCTCCTCTTGATGTAGACAAAGAAGAGCACGCAGAGACTGCGAAGAGCCCACGGTGCCCGCATTCGTACAACGCTCCAAAATTACAGCCCACTGCTCTGTGCATGAAAGACCAGGACCATGAACCACCGCACGACGATCCAACAGACATGTGGGCCTGCATCTCCATCTCGAAGTAAGACCTACACCACGGTGCACCCGCCCGGTAGATTCTCGCAAACCCGTGTCCATGGCGCCCCGAGCGATCGGCTTGCACGGCCCACCCTCTGGTAGGTTGCTTGGGCCAGGCTGGGCCACTGAACAACTGATGCGAACCGAGAGATGCGCGGTGGAATTTTCTTTATTTTTTTCCGGACAGAACGAACGAATCCTGGCCAAGAGGCCGTGGTTTTGGGGCAGGCGTGAAGATGCTGGGAAAAAATGAGGACCTCCCTAGGACCCTCAACCGATGCCCATGAAGGGGAAAGGCAAGGACCCAACTTGGATGACAATCCTGAAATGTAAACAGTGGTCATACGAACCCCCGTTGTTTTAATGGCGGTTTGATCCCCCAGGCACCTGTGAACCTATGAACCGATGAACCCAGGTTTTGTTTTCACTTTCCTGGCCCAGCTGCCGTTTGAAGACCCGACTGCCAAAAGCAAAACTCTGAGATCTATCCCCTCTTCCACAGAGCGCCCTTGCGAGTGGCAAGAAGTGCAAAAATACACGTTTAAACCGGCACTTGTCCGGGCAATGGTATTCGCACAGTATAAGACCTGACCGCACCACCAAAGTTGGGGTGGGTTCACCACGGGGCGGC